CCACCCTCCCTCCCACTCTCTCTGAAAGGGCAATGGAAAAAATATCCTCAGGTGAGAATTAACAACAAAATAATAATACCAACAACTAGGGTTACATTTTTCAAATGCTCTTATTCATCTGGAAAATTCAGTGTAATATGTGTTATATCTATGTATATATGTGTATATATACACACACAGTTTTAGGAGAAAACATCAGCATTTCAGCTTGGTAATTTAAATAATGTCAACTACTCATGTTTATTTGTAAAACTTCCCATAGTGAAACATGTTACAGTTACCTAAAAACATTCACCTTTCACTATTTACAATTTGAATAATTATGGAATGTTTGCATAATGCAACCAGTTGAGTTATAGAAAAGTCACATAAACAATATAAATCTGATGCCCAATCCTTTACAAATATGAAATTACTTTCACTGGGTTTTCAAACTGTCAAGTATAAATAGATGAGGTCAGCAATACTTCAGATGAGGCACTTTAACAATTACTCAAAAAGATTAAGTACAAAGTATGGAACAAAACTCTTAATGTTAATCTAATCCTCAATTTCAGATGTGATGAATCTGAGATAGTTTATATTAAGGAGTGTTATAAACTTTTATTTCTTGCCCTTCTGCCTTCACTTGACCCAAGGCCACATAAAAAAGAAACACGTAAGATGTACAGACATCACCACAGACCGGTTAATGTGCCAACATACAAAGGAACTAAACATTATCTAATGACACTGGGGTTTCAGAAAGTGACTATTTTAACACAAAAACTGATGCATAATTTTTTTCAGAAACGTGTATAAATACACTGGTCTCCCAAAGGTAAAATATCTCTACCATATTCTTGCACAAAAAATGCCTACAGATGTACTATTTAATTAACTGAATTAAACCTATTAGTCTTATGTATTCTTTTCAAACACTAAATTTTTTAAATATTTGAGAAATTAAAATATTACATTTTAATTTTTAAAATAGAGAAATTAAAAAATTAGATTTACCAATACTTTATAGTTTTAAGACTTAAAAAAAGCAATAAGGAGCAGATGTTTTGTTTTGCCAGCCGCTTGTGAAAGCTCTTTAAAACATATACATTTGGCCAATTCATTTTGAACCTTAAATTCTCTGAATATTTACACTGTATCTTTTGGTAGTTAAGATAATAAATACTCAATTAGAAGATGTTAATTCATGCTGCTTCATGAATTCTGAGTTCTGCAATTTTCCCTACTGTGGAATTACAACATACCTCCATTAGTAAAGAAAATGGATGACTCAGATTCTTAAAGTTTATTCAGAAGGGATTAAAATCTGTGGTTTCATTACTAAAAATTTTAGGTGAGGACAGTTAAATCTCATTAAACTTGTTTTATTTCTGGTAGTTCATAATTTGAGTAATTTCTATAGCCCAAGTACCAAAATGTTGTTCAATAAACATGAGTTTTTCACTCACTTACACAGTTAGCTGTTCCAAGTCCATTTATCAAAATCACTTGCTCTGTATGACTACACGAGGGCACACGCACTCCTTAATTCCCTAAAACAATTTTGCTCCTCCAAAAGGAGAAACTGGCTTTAGCTTAATATGCTACCTGACACTTAAGTCTCTTTTAAAATCCAAAGTCGGCCAATTTTCAAATAAATGAGAAGAGAAAATACTTATTTAGAATGACAAAAATTAAGCTTGGCAAAAGTAGTGACTTTTATTTACAATTGCATGTATCAAGATTACAATAGAAACACTAATGATATCATCTGAACAAAAGCAATGATTTATTGGTAATGGCAATGAATGGAATAGTGACAGTCTCTGGCGAGAATCAAGCAGTCATCCAGGAGCTGTAGGTCTGATTGCAATGTGGTCTTCCAGTGTCTTTTGTATCTTAGTGACTTTCTCCTTTTTTGCCAACTACCTAGAAAAACAAAATAACTTTATATGTACATCTTGCTGATTTAGAAATATAGGTTATTTTAAAATAATATTACAAAATATTAATTGGCAATCATCTTTAAAACCTGGTATTAATTTTTATCCCTGCATTTCTTTGGCATGCATATTTCCATTGTTGAAACAAACTGTGACCCTCCCTCTCCTTCCAGCCTCAAGGAATTAAAAATAAACCACATGCAGGCTATTTTTGGTATCCCACAATGTTTTAAGAAAAAATGCAATTTTTCAAAACAAGGTTGACAGTTTAGAGAAGTTAATAAATAAAAAGATGATGCTATATGAGTGAAACATATTTGGCATACTATTTTTAGACAATTAGAAATCAAATGTCAAACACAAATAATCTAGAATTAAAAGAGTATGCTAAACGTATGTCTTCATGTCCAAGATGACAGGTTTCTAGACATTTCTCTCAATATGTAGACATGTAATAAAAACATTAAAAAGGACTTATCTTGCTTAGTTTCTATTTTTAAGAAACCCTGGTTACTATAAATGTGCTATAAAAAATGTAAAGAATAAATCTTGTTTCTGTCAATGATTAGAAAAATTGTCTATTAGAATGTCTATTAAAATGTCCTAGTTGCTATAAATGTGGCAGCATAAAAATATAAAGAATAAACTTGGTTTCTACCAACAGTTCTATAAAAAAAAATTCTCGGGAAGATTCTAAAACTACGTTCTAATTGAATGAATTACTTCAAACCTACAGTTTATCATAAATATATTCTCATAGTAAAAATGCCTCTAAAGAAATCTACCCGCAAGTTATTTATTTGTACATAAAAATATTTCTATACACATTTGTAAGTATTGAAATTGATTCTGTTCCACATGGTAGTGTCTGAGTCAAGCAAAACTCAAAAAGGCCTTCAGTACGTGTCTGGTCTAAAATTAAAACATGGCTGGGTCAATGTCTTTCATGGGAGAAGATTGTAAAACCCCTTCCACTGAATGCCCAGTCACTTAATGCTAGAATCGCTGCTTTCCCCATCTCAAGTAAGATCACTTTTATTACTTTAAAAGAATTCCTCTCTGATCCAAGGAAACCATGTGTTAGGAAGTCCAAAAAGCCAGACAGAGGCTAAAGAGATAGTCTCAGAAAAGAGTATGTAGATAAGAGAAAGAAATTCAGGTTTTAAGCACCGAGGAGTCTTCTTAAAAAAGAATAGGGGCTGGAACCATTTGTATCACAAACAAAATCAAGCAGATAAACACTGAAAGCATTATTGATCATTGTATCACTTGGGAACACGCAAAACACAGAGCTATTAGATTAAGCAAAAGAAAACAAAATGAACGAATATTAAAAATTAAAATTTTAGCAGATGTGATCCAGTAGAAGACACATATCTGCATACTGTTTCACAGGTTGATAGCTCTCAACTTGCCAATGTGTATTCTCTGTAAAAAAAAAGAAATTTAACATTCCAATATAGATTTTCCTACCCCAAATGTAAAGCTCTTTTATTTTGAAGTCTTTATATTAACATAACACCTCAGACAAACAAAAGTCTAGGTACATCAAAATTAACTGTCAATAATATGTATTCGGTAAAGAGTCCATTTTCCTTCTGTTAATAGTTTAAGCCAGCCTAACATTCAGTCCATAAGTCTTTCAACTGGCCTTGAGCTCACTTGTAGGCAAAGCACAGGGGACACCCACAATTAATGAGCAAAACGACTTCTAGGCTACAGTTCCAATGAGAAAAAAACAACCACATATCTCAACTACAGCCTAATCAATATATTACACTAGTACTAGTATAAAATAACTTGAAGAAACTATTTATATTTGGCTTCCAAAATGATTCTACAGTTCCTAAAAAATAAAATTTAATCTTCAGATTAGATTAAAACATTATCCAACAGCTAGTTAAATCCGAAACCATTTACAACAATGTAAATTTTATTGCAATATTATTTTGCAAAAGGTAGTACAAAATTAAATATGAGACAGGAGAATGTAAAAAAACAACAAAAAGTTGGAAAAGCAACACAGTATGGTAATTTTTGTTATGGTAAGCCTAAAACAAAAACAAAATAAAAAGCCAGTCTAGAAACACAACTAGAATGAGATTTGAAGAAAGAGATGCCTGAGGAAATCTAGGTAACAGTAAGGCTGATCCAGATGACAGAAGCTGTAGAGATCTTGCACCAACAATGATGAGAACATGGGAAGGGTGAGAGCAGATAGGTGCAAGATGAGCAGAGAAGCAAGGAGGGGAGTGGAGTGAGATAGGTCAATCTTTATATTACTTCATTTTTAAAAATCTTCTGGTTTTAGTTCATTTGAGTTGGATTAAAAAAGCTGAAAAATAAACAGACAGAAAAATTACAAAAATAGCTGATACGGTGAATGGCCAGTTTAGAAAGTCTATTTTTATTACACTGATAGAAAACCTGCTCTGCTTTTTGCATGCACCTCATTCCCTAAGAAGCAGAAGCCCCTTCAATTTTGTTCATTTTTTAACTTATCTTTTATTACTTTTGTATTAAAATAAAGCAATACATGTAAAGAGCATATTTTAGCAAAGAAAACATCTACTTCCAATTAGGATGGCAAGCTTTTCATGCTGCAACACAAAGAATCCATTGACAATAGCAAACAGCCTAAGTGTTTATTATAATCTGTGCACAATGCCTATAAGAGCACAAACCAGACAAATGGAAGGTGTGTTCCAGTCCACCAAATCTTAAAAGTATAGCCTTATAAAGTTGGAACAGCATGCAAGGTGGTCTAAGATTTCTATCCACATCCAAGATTCATTAGCATTACCTTAGCTTCTGTCATCTTAGTCAAATAAGGAGGTCAATGACATTCTGAAAACTAAAATTATCTAGGAACAACTCATACGATATAAAAATGTTAACTGAAAATGCTCAATAATTTTATTTTATCATGCATTAAACCATTTTATATAATTCTTTACTACACAGCGGTATCAATATTTTCTTCTCTGTGCTGATAAAATATGTACCAAACCTATTTTGAAATTTTAAATTCTAATTACTATGCATAATCCTTTTAAAATTCAGACTGACTAAATAAGGGAAGAAGGGCATTACTTGCTTTGTCCTGGAACGAGTCCTGTTCATTCCCACTTTGATGCCAAGTTCCTATTTTCCATTCTACCTAGAGTGCCCACTGCTATCTTTTTCCTCCATCCATTTCTACTCCTAAAGTTTAGTTCAAGGCCCTCTCCCATCACACGTTCCCGGCCGTCATTATGAAGAAGGAAATAACACTGGGCTGGGAAGTATGAGGATACTCTATGGAGGGAGAGCTCTGAACTAAGCTTCGGGTCCATGACTAACTTTGCAAACGTTCAGGTATTATCCTTCAAGAACATCAGCTCGCTATGGACAGGATCATGGCTGTACCTAGCACAGTACTACAAAGACAACAAATACCACACACTTATCTATTATTTCCCTCACTAGAAACCAATTATTTTAATAGGCAACTCTCTAAAAGGACCAAACTGGCCAATTTCAGTTAAACATAAACTAATTTTATTGTAATTTTCCTACACTGAAGTTGACTTAGCATAGTATTCTTTTAAAAAATGAAATTAGCTTACTTTTGATAAATAACCCTATTGGACAATAAATTATACAAGCAAAACAAATCTCACTCAGAAATTATTAAAAGGAAATGTTATGTAATATTAATATATGTAAGAAAACCATTCAACCAATTAAAACGTATCAAACATTAAAAGCAAGGTACAAAGAAGACCAGAACACCAAGAAGGAAGTTCTCACAGCAGTTCTCAGCATGGCCCAGGCCGGAGGTCCCTGAGAGCTTTTCAGGTAGTCTTCAAGCTATAAGTTATTTTTATAACAAGGCTACACTGGCACTTGCCTTTGTACAATGGAGTTTTTGAGATGCTACATAACCTGAGATAGCAAAACTGATTGAATGCAGAAACAGATATGATAATGAGAGAATTCTACTGAGCTAAACAGTAAAGAAATTTTAAAAGTATAAAACAATGTTCTTCATCTCACTAAGCTGGTTTTTGTTTTGGAAAATACATACTTCAATTTTAAAATATTATTTGTGTTAACGTATGATGAGTTTATTATTTGTAAATAAGTATTTTTTAAATTTCTCAGTTTTAATTTCTTAAATGGTAAATATTAGGTAAGTATAGCCCACAGAAGCAAAAGCTCTTATTCGTCCTCAAGAATATTTAATAGCGTAAAGGGGTTCTGAGTCCAAAAAGTTTGAAAACTATTGCTTGATAGTAATTTTAAATAAGGTAAAAAAGTATTCAGTTAAATGAACACACAGTCAAATTATAAAACAAACACAAATACTCTCAAGCAAGAATAGTCTACCACCTTTGTTATCCTAAAGACAGTCCACAAAAGGTAAGTCTAGTAGCCAAAAAAGAGAAAAACTGATCTAGAAGAGGTGGGATGGGGGATGTTAAAAAAAAAAGAAGTGGAGACAGATTCTTAGGTGGACAGCTGTTAATGCACATTAGAAAAACTAACAAATGGCTGCTGGTAAGAAGACAGACAAGATAAAGGAGTGCTTTCTTAGACTGAAAAATGGAACTCCAACAGCATCAGCTAAGGCAAGAAGCAGGAAACTAGAGCTGAATTAATGGTATGGGAAATAGTAAGACAGAGTAATAGAGCTTATGAAAGTATTAAGCTAAAACAAACTATGCAAGTAACAGTTAAAGCTAAATCCAATGGCATTTAATTCAAACAGGCAAAGTAACAAAGCAGGCAGCCAAAATGTCTTTGTTGCTCACACATTTTTCCAAGTACAGCACATTTCATATCATAAAAATGTAGATGTTTAATCTCTGCTTCTTCTGACCTGTCATTATACATACAGATGTCAAACACTTAACATGACAGATCTAAGTACATGATTGTTCCTACAGCTCCCAAAAGTTAATTATACTGTGAGACAGGAAGATGGCACTTGTAAAAGGACTGGTTAAAATATCTATAGTCAAGGTTATCAATTTTGTAAAAACAGAATACAATTTTATAAGGTCATCCAATGTCGTGCAACTTTATGAATTTTTCTGTAATTGCATTAAAATTAGATCTGTGGCTACCATCAAAAAGAATAAAAGTTTTCAGGATGTTCTGTGGCTCCAATTCCCCCAACAGGGGTCAAAGAGTTAAGCGGAGTGCCTCTTCCTCTAATCATGGGAAACTCTTTCTCTTTTATAATCATCTCAAGTTCTAGACTGCCTGCCAGATGTAGCCACCAGGAACTCGGTGATAACTACCTCCCTGTGCTGCTGCACATTTAATCTGTGTGCAGCACCTGCATTCTGTACTGACAAAGCTCTTGGTGGCAATTCTATGATCTGTAGTTGTATATTTTAAGAGTCACCCTAAGGAACTGTTACCAATTATAAGTAATTCTACGAATGTACAAATGTTCTAATTCCTAAAAGTCCCATGTACCATATAAATTCTTTGTAAATCTCAGGACTGTGTACATAATAAATAAATAAATAAATAGGCATATGCCTCTATTCACTAAAAATTTATTTGCTGAAATTTGTTCTTTCAGCACATAGTTTGAAAGTTAGCATCTCAGTGTAATAAAACTGAGTCTATTGTTTTGTATTAAAATTAGACAAGTTATTTTAAATATTTTCATCAGAAACAATAATCCAAATCTTAATATCAGTCGTTCTTAAAAACTCACTAATACTAATGATTTCACTTACTCCCATTTTTCCATTACTTCTAACTACTTTCCGTAACCAATAATTTTTACCTTCTTAGTTGGGTGTCATTCATTGACAGACACTATCAGTGGGATTTGTCATTGTTTTTAGAGATTTCTTTTAGTTGGATATCTAAACTTGATTAGGAGAACTTACTGTTCTAGTTTAACCTTATAAAATTTTATAACATGACAGGATTTTGATATTTATAAAATAATTTCTTTACAATTACATTTTTACTTCCCTAAATTCCATTTTCACACACTTACTCGTTTGAAGTCATTCATGTTCGTTGCCTGGACAGGAGTGCCAATGAAAGTGAAGTACGAAATTCTCGTTGTTTCTTCTTCACCTTGATTGGACTGAACGAATATCTACCAGAAAATAGTAATAATTTTTACAGTAACAATTACAATCCTTTCTTTCATAAAAATGTTTTTGGTTTAATGAATTCCCTTAGACTACTAATACATATACCTTTGGCTCTTTGCAAGGATTAACCCAAATTACATTTAGACTGTACTCCCACAAGACTGTTAATTCTGCTGCTTGCCCTGCTACTCCCATCTATTCCAGGGATGTCAGGGCAACATACCCATACACGCACGTTCTTGACAATTTAGTTTGATGATATGGAGGGGTCATAATTAAAGTTTTTACAACAAATGTTGAAAGAATATGAAATTCACTACTACAATTGGCAGAGTGCTGTTGAAATTTTATAAAAATTACAGTTGTTCAATGAAGAATATTTCTGAAGTTATATTCTTTCTGATATTCACTCATTCAATTACCCAGAATACTAAAAGGAAACATAGTATTGGAAATCAGCTCCTAAAACTACACTATGCACTACATACTTTCTTCAGCTTGACTATACTTTCTATTTAAAACCCCCTCTTCAGCATGTTAGACAAGCTTTACTCATAGGTCCTTTTCCAGTATACTGGATTTATTTTTTAATTCGCTCCATATTTGAGAACACAATACTCTAGATGCTGTCTACTTAATAATACTGCCTATCTTGATTTGGACAACACACTGCTTGCATTCTCAGGTGACATTCATCAGTCAGTCCATTTTTGTTGTTTGTATAGGCAACCACAGATTCATCTCAAACTGAGCCGATCAATTAAAAACTCTAAGTCTATAATTAGAAGACTATTAAACCAGCTCTCCATTTATTTATTTGTAATGCTCTTTGAATCTAAGCACAACTATTTTTATATTTACTGCTTTTAAAATTCATCCACCTACTCTGATTAGACTTTCTGATCAAAACTGTCATTTCAATTTCAATTTTACAAAAAAAAAGTGACAGGCACGCTTTCTGTGTCTTAACTGAAATTCTGATTGAGATAGGACACAGTACATAAAGACTGGAGCCAATCATGAAATAACTATGTCCGTGATTCTAATGACAGAAGAGACTGCACCAGGATCTCTGGATTGAAAGGGCTTTTCCAATAAACAACTGCCTTCCTTCAACCACTAAATAAAGCAAAAGGTGTTATTATGAACACATGCCATAGCATTCTTCTAACTTACAAAAACCAAATTCATTCCACTAAAACAAAGAAATCACATTAGTTTGGCATGGCTTGTTCTTTTCCTTTTCCAGGTGTTCTATTCTACTCTAACCCTCTGTCCCTTCCTCTGAAGGACTGAGTGGGCAGTAGAGAACACATGCTGGGTTTCAATACCAAAATTCACAAAAACAATTAATAACTGCTAAGCAGCAGCATACTTCTGAATATAAATTAACATAAAATTATCTTTTCAAAGTTTTTCACTGAGATGACCACTACATTAAAAACTCAGTATTCTAGAAAAGTACACTGAATTTTACAAATGTATCACTCATTACCAGGTATGAATAATAAAGCACAAACATCTTCAGTTTAAGTATAAATGTTCTAAAATAAACTTTTAACAACAGTTGCCAAGTATATATCAAATAAGTAAACTGACAAATCCACAAATTTTAAAAATATCAACTTGTCCTTCCCTTAGGATACATAAATTAAATAGAAAATTTAATTAGCTCATTATACATTTTTACTCATTTCAAACCAAGTGGACAAATAACTACTTGAAAGGATCATTTAGAATCACTAAACATAGCATAAATTGTCATCCATAAACCCATTAATTGTATCTTAATGAAATACTACTTACAGTTACACTGTTAACATTCTGAAACTTAACATAACGAAGTGGGACAATGCCATCTTCTTTAATATCATCCTCTGTTAGTTCCAGAGCTTGAGTTGGTTCACTTCTTTCTGCTTCTTCGAAATCCATAGATCGGGGTAGATTGATAAAAATTTTTACGTATTTAGGACCCTGACCTATAAAATGGTAAAACAAAATGCTAAAAACCAAACATATAATATTTTCTCCCCTTTATTATTACAATCATACTATACAGCCACATAACACACATATGCACATATCTACATACATCTTTAAGAATTCTAAGAAAGTCTGAATATTACCATAGCCATTTCTTGGCCTGTTAGCACCATACACCAGGAATTCTAGATTAAAACACATATATACATATGCACCGACATAGAAAAAGTTCTTGCCCTCAACTACAAAAGATGTACTATGTAAATGTAATACTACTAGTGAGGAGGTATAGGGAATGTAGCAATGGAGCCTGACAGTGTATGCAGGCTAACAAGTTTCATAAAAAACAGTAACATTTGAGCTGGGTCTTACAGTTGCCAACAATTAGTACATTTTGTTGCTTAAGAGGAAAGCATTATTAGTGACACCATTAGCCAAAAGCGGATTATACAAATTGCCAAATTTCATGTTAGGAATTAGGATGTGCTCAGTGGTAAAATCACATTCACAGAATGTCAGTCCCTTTAACTTCAGGATACAATCTAAACCCGTATTTTCCGGCTGATTAAACAATGTTAAAATATTCACACTGCTTAAATACTCATTTCTACAGCATTTGCTTTTATAAATATTTTGTGTTGCCCAGCCAGGCGTGGCTCAGCGGTTGAGCCTCGACCTATGATCCAGGAGATCGCGGTTCGATTCCTGGTTAACAGCACATGTCCAGGTTGCGGGCTCCATCCCCAATGTGGGGCATGCAGGAGGCAGCCAATCAATGACTCTCTCATCATTGATGTTTGTATCTCTGTCTTTCCCTCTCCCTTCCTCTCTCTGAAATCAATAAAGATATATTTATAATAAATAAATAAATAAATAAATAAATAAATAAATAAATAAATAAATAAATAAATAAATTGTATTTTCAGAATAAAGACACAGTTTCATTTTTAGGATGCTGGTTATTTCTTCAATTAAAAAACAAAACCAAAAAAAAATCTAGTCCCTACTCTGTCCTTCTCCCACTCCAGCCCATCCTAAGGATGACAAAAACAACAACAACAAAAGACACCTCCACAGAAACAGAAAAAGGGGTGGATGAATTAAGGAAAATTCTTTATTTAATAAAGAGAGAAATGCCAAGCCTGTGCACTCATGTTTATAACATCATATCTGTAAAGAATATGAATCTATTAAGAGGGCACAAATAGAACCTTAGTTTTATTATCTGTGATAGGAATTTGAAATAAATATCTCCCAGTTCTGATCCTAAAAAATGGCTGCTTCGAATCTAGAGTTTTAGAGTCACAGTTGGAAGAACAGGTTCACTTGCTTTTAGATTAAGAGGAAACTTAAATTCTAAAATTAAAAACTTTAGAAATAAATCTCACATTATTTGCCCATTCACTTATATCTTTGCTTTGTTCCAAAAACAATTTTCTTCTTTCCCCAAACAAGGAATATCTACCTCTCTTGAATAAACAGAGGTAGACCTACTAATAGGTCTACAGATCAGAAAGTTACTTTAGAGAAAAACTGTCCATTACTTACCATTATCTGGCCCTTGAAATTTCATTGAATAAAGCTTAACAGGTTGATTGAATGCCACAGTAATAAGTAGCTGTGAAGAAAAGAATAGTTTCATTTTAAAAGGGCTCCTGAACACCTTGAACACACACACAGCTAAGTACAATTAATTCAGAGGCAAAAATTTTTTATTCATCTAACAAACCAATGTAATATGTAAAATCAGTAAGTTAAAATTACTTGATTGGACTGACATTTGAAAAATACAATCACCTCTTATTCATATAAGGGAATGACAACAAAAAATTTAATGGAATAGTTAACTATAATTATGCATAAGAACCTAAGGTCTTGTGACCAATAAACCAGCAAGCAATCTGCTTTCTAAAAACTCAAATAAAATTCCCAAATTAAAATAAAATTTAAACTATTTATGTTAGCATATAAACTTAACGTTTTCTAGAATGGTTTATTTGTCAAGTATCTACCCATGTCACCTGACAATTTGGAGACAATGCACAGGTTATGTGGAGAGACTAGCCCTCAAATGGACTCAACTTGATCCAAAACTCAAGAGAAGAGGATCCTTACAGCTCTATACTTGCCTCCAACCTCAATCCTTAACTTATTTGACTAACTGAATTTGGAAGGCCACATATGAAAACAGATACAAAACAGTCACAATGCCCCTCTCTCAGAAACTCGGACTCATTCGTCCACTTTATCTTCTTCCCAGCCAAAATTGTGTCTGATGTAGGAATCTATTCTTCTACCCTGGGAAGCAGATTTCCCTGGCAGGATGACTTCAGGAAAGCTATAGCCAGTCCTGCTGATAGGCACCATCAAATTATATTTAGAGCACCATTTATAAGGAACACAGTGTGAGCAATATTCTCAAAGCTATTCAGTAAGGTAGCTCCAGCTGGAGCAAAGAAAAGGGGGTTTAGATTTATGGTTTTAGAATCATTATGGTATGTCTGCCTAAGAAAATACCTAGACTATATCCTTTAGTTATAGAAGTACTTTTTATACTTGACCTGTAAGAGTGTCAAAAAATAATAAGCATTGCATGTTTAGGGACCTGAACCACAGATGAAAGGGAGATGAGAGTAAAAGCTAGAAACAGATCAAGTCAGCAAGATCAAGATACCCTTAGCCAGTGAAGAATCATTTAAAGAAGAAACATGATCAGATTTACACTTAGAAAAAAATAACTTTTGTGAACATGCAGGATATAAACTGGAATGGAGACAAAGCTGAGTCACTGGACTAGAAAATAAATTAAGGAAATAACAGTCAAGACGAAGACGGCCAATCAAGGCAGCACTACGCTACTTCCTCTGTGACCATAATGCAGGGAAGCACAGGGAAGCACAACACAGGTTCACATCTGGGAGAGAGGACTGGACATATAGGGAATGCTCATATTTGGTGAATAAAAAGTATGAAAGGCAAGGCAAGAATGAACAAAAGGACTAAGGAGTCATGAAAGTTCACTCAGCAGTGGGGCCAAACCCAAGAGTTCTGTGATTCTCCCTAGTGCACCTGCAGTTCACACAGAAAAAGAGAAGGAGATGGGTCTGCATGTTGAAAGGACAGGGGTCAAAGAAAATCAAAGTTTAAAAAAGGAAAGGAACAGTGGTCATCTGGGAAAGAGAGACACAAAACCATGAGGTGGAAACATGATAGAGAGACAAGAGCAGGCATTAATACTGAAAATCAATACAGCCTTAATTCAGACACCCAGTTACCTGCTCATCACAATCCGATTCCAAGAAGGTCATGTCTTTTCGCAAACAGTTGTCAAATCCATGCTCATCACTTTCATTAAGACATTCACAGCCAGCTTTGTTAATAAAAGGCATCAAATCCATCTGAAAAAATTAAATCAAGACTTTAGGCAAAGAATTTGGATTTGGTATAAAAATCTTAGTAAAAAACTTAAATATGTGATTCTCTCTCGATCAGGTAATTTTGGAGAAAATGTCTTTCTCTTCTAAAACAGTGATTAAAACTTGAATAATAATCCTTTCCTTTGAACTTCTGAGATTCACCACTAATTATTAGAGCCAAATCTAAGCTTAGCCCACTTGATAAGTTATCAGAAACCAAGTCCTTAACACTAAGATTGTAATATATTGACTGATACTTTTGTAATATTGGTATTTACAGTGGAAAATATGCAAATTAAAATATCTGTAAGATCAGAAGAAAGCCTACCTCCCTGTTCTAGTGGCCATGGATTCCTTAAACCTATATCCACGAAGACCTTAGACCAAAGATACTAGCACTCCATGTACCTACCTCCCAGCTACAACAAACACCAACTCATGCCCACTCCTATTTCATCTTTACCCTGCAAACAGTCCCCAACCATCCCCAATTATTCTCAAGTAAATCTCAGACTTTTTTCATTTCACTCATGAATATTTCAGTGTACATTTCTAAGCAATAAGAAGCCATTTTTTAAACAATCCTCAATATCATTATCACAACTAAAACAAAAAATAATACTGTCAAAAAATATTGTCAAATATCAGTGTTTAAATTTTCTCAATTGTCTGAAAAGGTGAAGGAATAAAAGAAAAAAATTCCTAAATTGTCCCCCAAAGGTTTTATAGTTGAATCGTTATAATAAAGATTAAAAAAAAGTACAAAGACTATACTTGGTCAACACGTCTCTGAAAATCTCGTCTTTTAGTCATTTAGCCTATAGCTTTCTAATATTCTGAACTTTAACGATTCCCTATGGTGTCATTTAACATATTCCTATATACCTGTTAGCTAATATTGTCATATTTTCAACACTATGCGCCAAGAGATGTGATGACAGTGGTGGTCCTTGTCTTGTTTCTGACTTTAGTGGGAATGCCTTTAGTGTTTCCCCATTAAGATTTTATCGAATGCTTTATAAAAAATGGGTAGTAAATTTTGTCAAGTACCCTTTCTGCGCATTATGAGATCGTTATTTTTCTCCTCTGGACTGTTGGATTTTGTTTACTAATATTTTATATAAGATTTTTTTACAATAATATTCCTAACTGGAACTGGTCAGTAGCTTTCTATTTTGGTGAAAACTTTATCAGATTCTGGGATCAATGTCGTACTTCAAAATTTCAAAGTTTTCTCTCTTTTTATATGGTCTTAAGTAGCTGCAGCAACACTAGGCTACCTGACCTATAGACCTTTAAGGTTTGGTAGAATTCCCCTGTGGAGCCATCTTGGTCTTTATGGAAGAGCTCTTTTACTACTTTCTTTATTTCCTCTATAGTAACTGGTCTATTTAAGCATTCTGCTTCTAACAGAGTTGATTTTGATACACTCTATTTTTCTGGAAAAATATCCACTTCATCTACTAAACAAGGATAATTTTTAATGTTTACCAAGTATTACAAATTGTCAGTTGCATGTTCACCTTTCTATCAGAGTCTTTATTATATTTTTAAATCGAGAGACACTAATGCATGTATAAACAGTTCTGAAAGACTAAAGGAAATTTTTTTATATGTCAAATAATTATCAATATGATAATAATCCATTAGAATATATCCTAATTATTCATGTGGTAGCCTAAATGTTTCAGAGCCAAAATGCTATTTTGTATTACATTAAATGTTACATTACACTAAATGTTAAATATATTAGTATAACATATTGTAGTTAACTGGAAAAGTGGGGGGAGGAGGTAAAAAAGGAGCACTATAGAGCAAAGTTCTACTGTTGGAGAATTATGCTGAAGTTCATAGTATTTGCTTGGAAGGGTAGTTTTAACAAAATCTTTAAAATGTTTAGTTCTTCCATCCTACTGAGGTGCAGCTTCAATACTATATCTCAGATTACAATCCAGGCACGAAGACAACATTGTCGTCACACTTCCAATATCTTAATGATGAAAATAAATAGATGAATTATTTTAAATAGATTTTAGATTTATGTATCATGGGGCACACAAAACAAGTACTACATTCAAACAGTTGCATTAAACTGCTTTTTATATCTTAAACAAATGGACATTATATGGTATACTTGACATAACTGCCAACAGACATATTCTGACAATATGCAGTGAGAAATAAATATCGCCTATCTATGTAACAACTTGCCAATAATGAGGAAAGAGTCATGAGAAGCAATCAGACAGATCCAGACTGTGGGACAATCTATAAGACAGATGATCTAGACCTGTGCTGTACAACAAGATAGTCATTAGCCACATGTGGCAATTTAAAATTAAAATTAAAAGTAGATATAATTTAAAAGTTCAGCTCCTCAGTTGCATTAGTCACATAACAAATGCTCAATAGCCCCTTGTGCCTAGTGGCTACTATATTAGACTGGTGCTGGCTTAAACTTTCAAAACAGGTAGTCATGAAAGAAAAAAAAGGCAGAGAAAAGATGCTAGACTAAAGAACACTAGAGAGAAAACAGCTATGAAGTATATTTTGAAGATAATTTAGGAAATTTGAGTGTAGGCTGTACATTAGAAATACTGTAGCAATGTTTAGATATCAAGATGGAGCAAAACCAGCAAAATATTTACAACTGATGAACATAGGTGAAGGGTGTATTGTGTTTGTAGTACTACTCTGTCAATTGTTTTGTTTTTTAAATAAGTTTCACTTTTTTTCTGTATGGGGGAAAAAATCCAACATGGGATACACGGAAAGTTACAAAAACCTTTCCATTCTTCAGGTTTTTGGTTAAAGAAAGATCTACTTACTATACAAATTAGGGTCATTTAATGTCTGATTTGATTTTAATAAATGATGACAAATTTATAGACCAAAACTTAACAGTTCTGAACTCAAAACACTAGAATATACTAACAAGCCTTAAGATTCAGAACATGTGCAAATGCAAGTTCAATTCCGGACTGCCTCACATTCAAACTTCGGAAAAGAAAGACTTGATTTAGGGAGCATGAGGGGAACTATTTGAGCCTATACTATGTACTCTTAGCAACTTAGAGAGAAAAGATATAATGTTTCAAANTGAGAGAGAAAAGATATGATGTTTCAAATTTTCCCAACTTCAATAAACATTTTAAAAAATAAAGTCCACAAANGAGAGAAAAGATATAATGTTTCAAATTTTCCCAACTTCAATAAACATTTTAAAAAATAAAGTCCACAAACACATATATCCTTCACCTATGTTCATCAGTTGTAAATATTTTTATAAGTTTATGCTCACAAAAATATCTTTTACTTCTGAATAAGAATCTATTATGATTCTTAACCTTCTGAATATCTTTTGCAATATCTCAAACCTCCCTAAAAGAGATACATGTATTTATCTCACTCTGGCTCAAGTCAAAGTAGAGTTTCAAAACTACAGCATGTATAAAATAAATAATCATATAGCCTCTAGGTATCAAAACATAATGACTAAAAGTCTTTATTCCAAGAAACCAAAAATTTTATTTAAAAGTTGTCAATTCATTTTTGTAATGCTTATAGTTAACTCTACTTAAGACCCAGGTTTTCATTCAATGTCTCTTACTCCCATTACGTTTCTATTTGTGTTGTGGGACAAATGTTTTTTGGGAACACATTACCAGTATTAAATATTTAATAACCCTGTTCAGATCTAAATAATTCAAAACTTTTAATGTCTTGATTGACACCAGATGGGAAAAAATGAAAATGTTTTAATAGCTTTTCACATTGTATTCGTAACATTTGCATGAAAACAAAATTTTTTTATTTCTTAAAACTTTATTTTTTCCTGCTTATTTTCCTACCTGAGGCCAAACACTGATATCACACTTAGCTGATGTGTAAAGAAGTATCCCTGTAGCTAAGCAGCAGGACTGTTGTGTTCTTAAGATGTTTTCATGCAAACACACTTAGTAATAAAGGGGAAAAAAATACAAAGATGTAAACACAACAATTAACAAGTCAAATGATTTCCAAAATTTTCCAAAAGGTGTCACAACCCTGATTTACACAACGTGTCCATACTTTCTAACCGGATATTACAATTTCAAATTATTATATAGTTCTATTTAATATAAATATGAATTATACTTCCCTAAAATAATTAATGTCAGTACCACGTTAAAGTCACTCTTTGAAGACACAACCCCACCAAACCTACACACACACACACCTCTCTCTCTCTCTCTCTCACTCTCATATTTCCTAGACTACAGATTCTCCTTATTCAGCATTAATTTAAGGGACTTACAGAAAGGACTTGTAGCCCCAGATCTGCTTTAATGTACTCGATATACACATTTTCATATAATAGCTTTAATTTGAGGTAACACTTTTTTAAAAAAAGTCATTTTTTAATCTGCCAATATTAGTAACTTTATTTACCAGTTTGCATAAGCAAATCAGCTATCATAAAGTGGTACTTCTGAATTTTACTTACTTCCTGAATAACTCTCAAATATAAAGATATTACATTATAACTATTCGTATTAGTTTTCAAAAATTTTAAGTCCTTAAGTCTTCAAGTTATTATTTAGAATAATAACTTACTCTTAAACCAGAAAAACATATCCAAGACTCAAGTCATATTTTGTTCTAAAACAAAATCAACTAGCACATTACTTTGGGGGTGGGGCGTATTCCTAAAAGTCCTAAAATGGCTATTAAAATAAAATAGTTCAGAAAACAGATTTTTAAGTGACAAAGGAAATTAGCAGGAGAAATTCAAGAACAGTTTGCGATGAGGACCAAGGTCATAGCACACATAGCACACACACAGACAAAGCCCAGTCAGCCAGTGAGTTTACTTTTAAAGTTATTTGAAAGTGTTCCGAACTAGTAAAAGATAAAACATGAAAACACAGTCAATTTCACTTTAACCAAATAATGGCAAGTGGAAGATATATCATGATCTCACTTGTAAGTCTACGTACATAGCCTTTTGGAATATCTGTGTCCTCATTGCTTCCAGGGTCATTTTCTAAGTGCTGCTTGATTTTTTCTTCTAGTCCCACAGCATCTGCTCCTTGATACTGATCAATTCTCACTTTGTTTCGAAAAAACAAAAATGTAGGCGTTGCTGATATATTGTTGGTGGCAGCTGTTCCCTAGAATTGGCAAGTTAGATAGCATAATGAATTAAAACTAATCTTAAACAACTTTGAGTTTTTACTCTGTATCTCTACGGAAGTTAAATATCACAAATATGGATTAAAGACATGTAAAATAATTTATTCCTAATTGCTACTTAAGAAAAAGGCCAATTCCCTAAATTATATTATATTATTAGCTTTACATCCACAATGAAGAACAGCCTTGTATTTCATCAGTTTTAGTGTTAAATACTTCATCCAGCAGAAGAGTTAGCTTGCCACAAAAAAACTGCTTTACAATACCAGATAGCTCTCTCATAAGTACATACTGTTTCCCAAATGGGTATTAACAGGTCAGCACAAACCACTGGTGCTAGGAAAAAATACACGTCTGAAAATAGTAGCCCATCTGACCAGGAAAGTAAGGTAACATCCTTTGCATTGCAATCCTCACTCATTTCTACTCATGCAGAAATGACTCCTGATCTCCCACCAAACATACTACAACAGTTATCTTTTAAAATTCTGCTCCAACTCCATAATTATTACAAGACTAATTAAGGAATGGAACTTAATTAATAACTACCGATTCATTAGAATTGTAAAAGAAACAGTAAAGCAAGTGTGTCACCTTGTTCAAATACTATGAGCATGTATCACCATATCATTTACATAAAAAAGGCATAATGTTTACATAAAGATGTCATCTCTAAACCTCATTAAAAAAAGACATCTTTTAGAACAGTGCTGTCCAAAAGATATATAATGTAATACACAAATGTGAGCCCTATATGTAATTTAAAATTTCCTAATATCCACAGTAGAAAAGAGAAACAAGTGAAATATGTAGCTACAGGACAGCACAGCTTCAGAAGACAGCACTTCCAGATCAGAGATGGTGAACACTTAAAATTAGAGCCAGTACTGCAGTCTAGTAGTATGTACATAAGTACTAAACAATGAATGTTAATATAGGGTTTACACTAACCAAATTCCCACAATACTGACTACTTTTCTACACTCATAAATGTAACAAAGCCTAAAACATAAAAAAGAGTAGCTACAGTGCTATCCCTTAGAGCTAAAAGCTATATTTTCAGTGTTGGAAGGAACAACTCCTCCAAATTTCTACATATGAAAATGCAGAACTGTCACACAGCCATTCCAACTAGGTAATCAGGACAATCTACCTACAGCACTGTGGCTCAATCAAAAGTAACCAACACTTTAAAGTTTCTGCTGTGTATGCAGCTTTGGAGCTAAAATTCCAAATTGGTCAATGCAAATCAAACCACAGAGTGGAGCAAAAGTTGGTTTACAGTTCCAATGGAAAATAATACAATAATTAATAATACAAGAATAAACTCTGTGCTTTGTGCACTCACAACTGTAAACCTACTTTTGCCACACCCTGTATAATCAAGAATTTTCTGCTATGACTTACTAATCAGCCAGTGCTTCTGTAGTAGAAGATATTAACTCTAGATCTGAAGAAAATAAAGAAACGTAAAAAAATACAGAACTGCCAGGTGACCTATTAACTTAATAACATATATTAGTTTTATATCAGAAAGCTACTAATATAAACAAACTCAGAAGCAATTAATAATTGAACTACCCTCTTAAGTAGTGCAGTCATAATGGACATTTATAATAATCATCAACATAACATTTTCTTATCTTCAAAGGAGTAAGTTCTATATGCAGAAAAAGATAACAAAGGATGATATTAATGTTGAAATTCAAACCAATTTGTAAACAACTTTTTTCCAAAAAGGGCTCCTTTCCCTTACCTGACACTGGTGTACATCTACTTCCAAGAAAACTGCCTGTGGATACTTATTACTCATAGTACTGAATGCTGGGGCAATCCTTAAACATGGTCCACACCTGTGAGAAAGGTAGAAGACATACTTGGAAAAATAACACCATATATTGTACTACTTTATACTCTAAAGAACTTGTGTCAATTAAAACATAAAATAAAATAAACTCTGATCATTCTGCCTTTAGACTTTCCAGTTCTTTCCACTGGACTATTTAGATATACTTGCATCAATACCACATTGTCTTTTTTTTAAATTTTTATTGATTTTTTTTTTTTTTTAAGAGAGAAAGGAAGGGAGAGGAGAAGGAGAGAGTGAGTGAGAGAAACATCAATTTGTTGTTCCACTTATTTATGCATTCATTGGTTGATTCTTGTATGTGCCCTGACCAGGTGTTGAACCTGCAAACTTGGCGTATTGGGACAATGCTCTAACCAGCTGAACAACCTGGCAAGGGCCCTTCTTTGCTTTTTCTTATGAACAGCTATTTTTATTTTATAATATTAAATAAGTTGTCACAAATGAAGCACGTCTTTAGGCTATACAACAATATACTCATTCCTGAAAAATCTCCCTTCTGTAAAAGCATTCACTCTAAAATAGAGAGCTTATGGAAAAAAATAAGGTTGAGGAAAACCACTTAACACCACACAATTTTGTAAAAATATCCCTTAAAAAACTCAGTAACTAGTACTCAGGAAATACTTGGGCAGCTAGGCAGATGGCTCAGACACTAGAGGCTACCTCAGGGGATATTTAAAATGAACAAATCAACCAACTGGAAATGCCCACTTACACGTGCTGTGAAATCCAGAGGAAGGCGGAGCTTTCAAGCCTGTGGAGCTGCCGTTAAGGGAGGGAGGGACAGGAGGAAGTGCAACTGGAGAATGAAGCCTCTGAGGGACTGAGCTGGGTGCTCATGTTTAGTTTTATTAACTTTCACTTTCTTAAGATAAACCTGAAAGGGAGCTGGCCTGTGTGGCTAGGGGCTTTTCTCCTTCCTGCTAAAGGTTCTATTTCTATTCCTGTTCCTCACTACTGAGGAAAAATAGAATATGAACCTCCACAACCTCCGCGTGACACTGCCATCATTGCTCTATTCACCAATCACGTATGAGCTAACTGGTACTGAAGAAACACTTCTTGTAGCTAACCAGACTGTATAAAACAAGGGCTACCTTGCAAATATCTGTTCCCTTTCAAAACTTAACTTTATCTAGATATTTTCTTTAATTTTAATTAGCCATCATAGATAGAAACTTTAGTCAAAAGTGAAAATAAGTCATAGAACACAAAAGCACAAATATTACCTGGCAGCTTACTTTCACACTATAATAATTCAAATGGATTGATTGGTTCTTTTAAGTAAGACGTTTGCCTTGTTTATCATTAGTATTTGAGTAAACTTAATTTCCATTATTGGCTGAGCTCATAAACATTTTACCTAATTTCTCTGTATAAAATGAGAATAGATTCTCTAAGGACCTTTCCCATTTCTAAAATATTATGCCCCAAGTGTGCCTTAATTTCAGGACTGTACTTTTTCTCTTGTGCAGACCTTGACTCATAGCCCTTAGAGAGTAAACAAACGCAGGACCTTTGAACTTGTTAAAAAGAGACCACAGACCATCTAGTCCAGAAGTTTAAAACAGGAGAGATCTTTTTCTATCTCTGAACCTCTCTTTCACTGAAAGCTTATCTGTTCAGTCCAATGTGCAAAATGGATATTTAAGAAGACTGTTATGCTTTTTTAAAAAAGAGAACACAGCAGGCAACCTGCTAGCTTTATGCAATTCGTAAAGAACCAAACCCACAAAACAAAAACTTTTAAATTGACCTAACCTAACACAATTATTTGATAAATGAGTGAAGACCAAAAAGTTGAGTGACTTGTTTGACATCAGACACTCTAGTTAATGGCAGGACCACAACTAGAAGAGTTAACTCCTAAATCCAGTCCAAAATCAGCTTTTTCTGAAAGCGCCATGTTAGGGTCTTCTTAACACGTAAGTTTTTGTTTACAGTCATAATATAAATTCTATTTCATAAACTTGCTGTTCCTCCCTATTTGCCAAAGTAGTTCAGTGCTCTACCTTGAAGAATAACATGCATAAACACACTGAGCTAGTAAACAGGCAAGAAAAATGTATAGGCTTTCTGAAGGCATATTTTAAAAGTTTAATTTTCTGCAGGGTATAACTTTAAAATAGGTAATTTCTGGGTGTATTATATTTACTAATGGGCAGGCATAATCATAATCGATTCTATTAATAACACAAGATGCCTAGCATTCACTGAACACTTACTATATGTTAAGCAACTTACAAAAGCCATAAATTCATTTAAGCTTTACAATTCCTCATTTTAAAGACAAGAACGACATACAGTGTTGGAATTTGATCACAAAACCCAACTCTTAATTGCTATTCCAAAAATCCAAAACAGTGTCCTATACAGTACTTTTTTGTTATTTCTAAATTAACTGCCAAGATGAAAACTACTTATATGCTCCTGAAAGGATAATATTATTTTTAAAAGGTTCAAATCCAGGCAAAAATAATTTGTACGGTTAGAATTCAAGAGTAATGAGAAGGGGCCTGCAGGAAGTTGGGGATCAGGGGATGATTCTGGAGTGCTGGTGTTGGTTAAATATATGTAACCACTCTGAAAATTTATCAAACTATACACTTTAATGATTTGTGTGTATTTTGATATGCATGTTATATTTCAATTAAAAAGTGTAGTTTAAAAAAATTTCTGTATGTTCCTTAGGGCCTCACCATGCCTCTAGTGATCTTACAGCTACCTACCTCACTAATTTTATCTGCCTGGTTCCTATGGACTGTTGGGTTTGCTAACTCAGTGCTACAGTAAGCTACCTTTGGCCCACAGCAACTTTGCTATATATAATTAATACAATATACATACAACATATTATTTGGACAATCTACCATAGCCATTAGAACTCAATATCCTAATACACATTAACATTCTTCTTGGATAACAATAACACCTAACCGACTACAAAGTAACACCTGCTTTAAGACAATTGAATACATAGTAAACACATTATAAAAGTGATACATTCATTAATTCAGGATAAAAATCATTCACACTGAGTTTTATGGGGAAGAAAATGTATATTCTTTTAACACTGGAGCTTAACCACCAATAATAACAACAAAAACGACACTGCTTATAACTGCTAAAATGTATCTGGGTATATTTAAGAAGTAACAGTTTGGAAATACCAGTTATAAAACTAGGTTACCATAGCATATAATTCACATATATAATTTTATTCTCTAAACAATATGATTAGGTTTCATGTTATTATTTCCATTTAATAAGTAGGGGGAAAAATGCCAAAGAGTGAAATGAATTGCCCTTGGTCATAAGATTAGTCCTGCAGGCAGAGCTGTAGCTAAATCATACAAAGCAACGTTTACTGAAAAATGTTGGGCTCTGCAACACACAGAGATGAACCTGCATTTCTCTTCTACTTAGGCTGGGAAGAGCAAGGATAGTACTCAATCCAAATAGTGCATTCAGCAATGGGACTAAAGTTCCTTAACCTCTCTGCGACTCAATTTCCACATTTGTAGAATGGGGATAATTTCATTATTTTGAAGATAGAAAGAGTTAATATAAATGCTTAAATAAGGCCCTTACACAAGTGAAATAATATGTAAAGACTATTTTAATTGCTTTTAAAAATACTGAAGAAGGATGTCAGGACAATTCACTGGGGAAAAGACAGGTGTGGTGTTGTTTTTTTTCAACAAATGGTGCTGGGAAACTGGATATTCACATGGAAAGAATAAAGTTGGATCCTTATTTTATACCATATACATAAATTAACTCAAAATGGATTAAAGACCTAAACATAAGAGCTAAAACTATAAAATTATTTGATGAAAACATTGAATCTTTATGGCACTGGATTTGGCAATGATTTCTGGAATATGACATCAAAAGCACAGGCAACAAAAGAAAACATAAGCTGGACTTCATCAAAATTAACAACTTTTGTGCATCAAAGGACATTATCAAGAAAGTTAAAAAGCAACCAATGGAAGAAAATATTTGCAAATTATGTATCTGACAAGGAATTAATACCCAAAATATATAAAGAATTCCTACAACTCAACAACAATCCAATTTAAAATGGGCAAAGAACTTGAACAGACATTTCCCCACAGATAATTTTTAAGAATGGCCAATAAGCACATGAAAAGACTCTCAACATCATTAGTCATTAAGGATACACAAACCAAAACCCCCAAATGCCACTTCCACCCATTTAGGACAGCTATTAAAATATAAAGAGTGATAATAGTATATGGAGAAACTAGAACTCTCATGCATTGCTGGTGGGAAAACAGTTTGGTGGTTTCTCAAAAACATAAACATAGAATTATCATCTAATCCAGCAATTCCACTCCTAAGTAGCTACCCAAAATAACTAAAAGCAGGGTCAAATGAACCCTTGCACACCAATGTTCATACTGGTAATACAATAGCTAAACATTAAAAACAACCCAAATGTTCATCAACAGATCAAAAAACAATATGTGGTGTGTATGTGTGTGTGTATTCCCCAAAAATGTATACACACACTTTGAAAAATTATAGAAGCAGTGTTTATTAAAATACATTTCATTTTCAAAATTGAGCTGTCAGCTGTTACAGTGTATATATGTTTTTTGGGATACCCTGAATGAGTGTGTGTGAGAGAGAGAGAGAGAGAGAGAGAGAGAGAGAGAGAGAGAGAGAGTGTGTGTGTGTGTGTGTGTGTGTGTGTGTGTGTGTAGGATGGGAGGGCGGAGATTGGGAGTTACTGTTTAAGGGTAGAGTTTCTGTCTGAGAAGATGAAAAAATTCTAGGAAATCGATACTGGTGATGGTAGTACATACACTGCTGTGAATGTACTTAAAGCCACTGAACTGTACAATTAACAATGGTTAAAATAGTAAATTTTATGTTACATATATTTTGCTATCAAAAATACTGGAGAGCCACTGAAGATTCTTAAACAGAAGAGTGACAATCTACATAGTGTTTTAGTAAAATTAATAGGACAGATAAAGCATGGAAGTGAAAAATAAGGAATAAGGGTTAGAGTAGAATTGTTAAGGAAATGAAGTAGGTGCTGGAGAAAAGTATGTTCGTGGCCTAAAATGGGGCATTGACTTTGATCTAACAGGTTTCTTACATGATTTAACTGGATATAGTTAGATGTTTGAGGGTCTAATATTGATGCCCATCTATGTAAATCTGGAGTCACAGTGGCATCAACTTGGTGTAGAAATGTACTAATGGCCAAAATGTTAAAAGAACTTTAAAGGCAAATACAACCGTATCATATTTGTAAGTATTGCCTAATACTTTTGAATTTAAAAGTTACCTAAATTAAACCATTTTATTTGCTCTCAGTTTTTACAGAGAAAAAAAAATTTTCATCCCACCAAAATGCCTTTTTAACAGTAAATAATAACAATACTTTACCAATCAATGTCTGCAGTTATGTTTATGGTTAAATGCTAATATATTGCTAATGGAGGTGTTTTTTTAATAGCAACATTTCCCCACTTTTCTCACTTCATTTAATAACTTATTACTCTGTCATCTCTCCCTCTGCTATGGTAAAGGGGTGGGGAAAGAAGAGTGTATCCTTGAGGGATAAAAATATAAGTGCTCCCATTGACTAGAATTAGGAAAGTGAACAAAGAATGAGATTCATTGTTAAAATCAAGTCTGGCATAGGTACTTAACAAGCGTACAAGTATTACCATATATTCAGAGCACAGACATTACAAAACTGCTACATCTGGGAAGTCACACTCATCAAATTCTGCCCTTCCTTTTAGACGTATCTTCATATACGAAATCTCCATCCCCTTCAGTTTAGTAAATGTCAAAGTCCACACGTCAAATGTGCACTCTATTCCACCATATAAAATTCAATGTACTGTCCCCTTTCAGTTCTGTGTGAGAGAGACTGGCCCAAAAATAAGTCCTAACTTGTCTTCATCTCTACCTGCATCCCTCCCATCCCCTAAAACTATCTAATCCTAATGCCACCACTTCTACACTAAACATTTATTGAAGCCTGTTCCATAGATATGAATCACTTGTTGCTCTGGGATTCAAAATATTGCCTTGTTTATATAGTTAGCTGGACAATAACACGTATTACATAAACAGTGGTACCCGCAGCATATTTCTCTTAGTGTAAGTGTTAATGATGTCAGGGGGTCAAGGTGAATCCAGCGGAGACATCTAACCCTCCTAGCTAGGCACTGACACACATACGGGGAGGTCAGTGAACACACACCCTCCCTCGGTCTCGGTTCTGAACGCGGGGTTCAAACAGGCCCCTCTCACACAGGAGCACCGTACCCAGCCACTATGGAAGACCCACCAGCTCTGCGACCTATAAATCATGTTCAGATTTACGAAAGCCAGTGAACACCTTTTCAAGATCCCTGTCGTCTTAACCATCGGGTAAAAAAAAAAAAAGGAGTCTCTTTGGCTAAACCCAAACGTCTGGACACCTGTCTCCTTCCTACCTGTCCTATGTACACCTACTATTATTTTTGTGTTCACACATGCAAACGCATACGGAGGGAAGCTTATGTTACAAAGTTACTAACCAAACGAGAGACAAAAACGTTAAGAAGTTAAAAAGTATCCTGACCCAACATTAATTTAAAATGCATCAGCTGCTAAGCACTACGCGGATTAGCTGGACAGCCCCATCTGAAGCTTCCAAAGGCATTACAGACATGCAGGCGGTGCGGAGTATCAAAGTGTTCGGTAAATTAAGATTTCAGGGTTCTACGGTGCAAGTGACAGCTGGCTTCCCGGAAAGAAAGGGACCGACGCAGCAGGGGCGGATGTAGGAGGCTCCCCGACCAGAAAGCACAGGGGCGGGCCACCCCCACGGCCGGGTTCATCTGAGGATTCAAAATGGGCCGGCGGGTGTCTCCTGGGCTGGGGAAGGCGGGCAGCCTGGCCTCCGTGCCCGCCAGACTCCCCCAGGGCACAAATCGGGGCTCAGACCCTAGAGCCGCGGCCTAACGGGGCAGCGGCCTGGGGCTGCGGCCAGCGCCACACTCCGGAGGACGAGACCACAGGGGAGCGTGAAAGGAAAGCATCGACGGACGGACGGACGGACGGAAGGGGCCCCCAGGGCTCGGGCCGGGCCTCACCCTCGCATGGTGAACTTGACCACGGCGAGTCTGGAGCCGGCGCCGCTCAGCTCCGGCTGGAAATCCGGGTCGCTCCCGACCGGCTTCACTCCCACCATTCTCAGAGAGCCCGGAAGGGAGGCAGCGACGCCACCGGCTTCGAAAATGAAGGAGAGGACGCCCGGGAGAGGAAGGGGGGATGCTCAAAAGGCCGAGGCCTGGAAAGACGCGGCGGCGGTCGCGGAGCGGCTCCCGGGGCTCTCCGTGCCGAGTCACGCCAGAGAGCCGAGCGGTGAGGAGGCGGGGACGGGAAGGGGGGGAGGGAGGAGGCGAGGGAAGGTGAGGCGTGCGGCCCCCAGCAGCCACCGCGCGGCAGGGCCGCCGGCGCTTGCGCAGCTTGACGTCATATCCGCGCCGTCCGTTTTGGCTCCGTCTGTCCAATCCGGAAACGCGAACCGTGGCCCCCGCTCACCACCGAGGAGCCTGTCGCTGGCTGGAGCGGCGCAGGCGCAGGCGCAGGCGCAGACCAGAGCGGTCGCAAGGTCACGTGCAGAGTGCGACGCAAACACTCGTGTGTTCTTCCGCGGTTGCGGGACCCGAGCCTCATTCCCCGGGAGGTTTTCGGGATGAGAGCGTGGAGATGGAACCCTCTTTCCTCCGGGTTCGCGGCGACTGCCTAAGGTCTTAAGCCCCCGCCCCCGAAGCACTTCGAGGATAGTCTTGTCGCATATTCAGGACGAGTCGCCCCACTAGGCAGAATAGGCTTTAGGAAGTTATTTACGGATCCTGTAATACGGGGGCGCGCTCTGTGGAATCATCCAGAAAACAGTTACGCACTTTAAGTTGTGTCAAGCAGGAAAGAAGGAAGGAAGGAAAGAAAATAAGGAAAAGACAACACTGCCCCTCTGGTAGGGGCTCCCAGTGCAGTGATAGACGCACGCGGTAGTTACAGTAACAAAGACGTTTGCAGAGGAGACGGTGGAGACGAACAGCAGCGTGGGGCAGGGGAAACTTTGCAGGGGGTGTGACCCCTGAACTGTCTTGACAAAGAAGGGGGGGGGCGGACGGGGAGAGGCGACGGGTATTCCGGGCGAGCAGGGTCCCGAGGGCTGATGGTAACAGTAGCAGCTGATAGTTAACAAATTATGTGTCAGATAAGATACAGGCTCATTGTGCATAGTAGCTCGTTTAATTCTTACGACCACCCCGGGAGATAGGTGCTGTTATTCCTCTTTAGACGAGTTTTGCCCAGTGCCCAGTCCTGGGAAGAAGCGCAGCGCGCGTTCGCGTTGAGCAGTCAGAGGGCAGCCGGCTCCGCGAGTCAAACCGTTTGCGTTTGGGCTTCGCTGGGGAGAAGAAACTGGAAAGGAAGGTAGCAGTCAGATCATGACTCGTTAAGAAATTTGTATTTTAACCTGAAGGCAGGAGAGTAATCACTGCAGGGCAGTTTTGCGATTTCGGGCGTCTTCGGGTAAAGCCTGGGGGCAGCCGTGGGCTGGATGGACGGCGGCGGGACCAGCTTCGGAGGTTATTCCAGCGGCTGCGGTGGAAACGAAATGTGTCTGAGAAGCAATTAGGACGTAAGAGCCGCAGGGTTCGGTGGCCCTTTGGACCAGTTTAGTGAGATGGCGGGAGGTGACAGAGGAAGGGGTCTGCAGAAACTCAGATGCTTCAGCCTGAGGCCGTTGGAGGAGTGAAGGTGCCCGGGGACAGCAGGAAGGATGCCTCCAAGACTAAAGAAAAGGAGTAGGTGACAGTTACAGACTTGCGAGTCATTGGTTTGGGTGATCATTGAAGCCCAAGAAACATGAAAAGAGAGGCCTAAGGGTGCTGCAGAAACATAAAATAATTATTCCTCACTGAACCCAGCCGGAGCAGAGCCACAGGAGCTGCCTGCCTTTCTCCTGTGATACCAGCACAGCTGAACGGCTTTAGAGCCAAATAGAAGTTCCAGAAACAAATCTCTGCTGCTTACTATCTTGTGGCCATGGACAAGCCGCTGACCTCCCGGAACCTCGGCCTTCTTGTCTGCGAGAACTGGTTAAATCTAATAGCAGGCGACCTGTAAAGGTCCAGAAAATAAGATGCTCAGTGGAAGATAATTTAGAAGCAATGGCATGTTACTCAGCCAGGCCAGCCTAACAAAAATACCGCAGCCTGGCTGGCTTTCACAAAAGAAATTTAATTCTCACAGTTCTTGAGGCTAGAATTCCCAGAGCAAGGTGCCTGTCGTGGTTGGTTTCTCCTGAGCCCCTCTCCTTGTTTTGTAGACAGCTTCCTCCTTGCTGCGTTCTCAAATGACCTTTTCTTCGTGCACACATGTGCACACATACAAGCACTTACATGTTTGGTGTCTTTCTCTTCTTATAAGGACACCAGTCCTATTACTTTAGGGCCCCGTCCTACAACTTTATTTAATCTCAATTACCTCCTTAAGCATCCTGTCTCCAAATAGTCACATTGGGAGTTAGGGCGTCAACCAATGAGCTTGGGGGGCTCACAACTCAGTACAGAACAGATGGATTGTTATTATTCCCAGCGGTCCTCCCAGCTTCGCCTAAAAAGCAAACAGAAAGTCTCTACTAAGACAGCTAGCGTAACTATTAAGAGGGGGTTTGTGGAAGCAAGACCTTAGAAATCTATAGATACCTGAGAGGCAAGATAAAAAAAAGGCATTGTAAAACTTAGATCCGATAGGGCCATTCTGTTGTTCATTTTTCATGTGTTCCTTCACATCCACTCTCAACCTTTCTTCACGCTGCTCTTAGCGCTTCAGAAAGCTGACCCAAAAGGCCTAGGTCAGTAGGATGCTTTGTTGGAGCTTCTTTTGGGGGATTGAAGGGTAAAAGAGAGTGAGATCCGTTTATTAACTCTGTCAGTGCCCATCCTGCTGTGTCGCCGGATTCATTGCGTCTTTACCAAAGGCTCCTGTCAAGAGGCTCTTCATATAATTACCCTTGTGAGTTCCTAGAACCCCTTTTTCCCTTGTCCCTTCAATCCTGGAAGTAGGACTCACTCCTTCCTGGCTATTGGTAGCACATTTCACATAATCAGCAGAAACACTTGCCACCAAAACCCTAAATCTAGGACCCCCCAGAAGAAGCAGAGATACCCAGAAGCCGTAATTCTTAGATGGGCTTCCCATGCTTTTATGGCAGGAGCCACCTCCAGCCACCAACCGCCACTAGGAGATTTCAGTCTCCTCATGCAAATAGAGATCCTCTGGTTTGAAAAGAATTATCGTCTTTCTCCCCTAGTGGTGTGGGGACCTAGTCCCCCTCTTTACAGAAAAACTCAAGTCTTGATGTCTTTGTCTTTATTTTCTCCTTAATGACGCCAGCTTTTTCCATTCTCCCAAAACCTGTCCACAGGTTCGTTAATACTCCCCTTACTAAATTCTCCTCAATTACTCACTTCAAATGTGCCATCTTTTTCCTGTTGAGACCCTGATTGATATAAAAACTTAAAAAAAAAAAACACACACGATTAAACACCAGGGAAATTGGAGCCTGGGAGATTAATATAGCAAGCTACAGATAAGTATTTGAGAGTTGCCAGCCTAAAGGTCATAGTTGATACCACTAAAGTACATGAGTTCTTCAGGAATTACACAGGAAAGCAAGGGGTTAGAACAGAAATTGAAGGACAACCACAAATAGGGAGTAAAATGAGAGAAAGGGGTTCATAAAAGAGCAGGGAGACAAATCACAAAAGTCAAGGGTCAAAGACCAAAAGGATGGGGACAGGATCGCTTTTAAATGCTGTAAGGGGTTCACTGGTTATCACCCAGAAAAACAGAGCAACTCTGTGGATTACGACGAATCACACTCTCCAGGGCCTCCGGCGTGTCAGGCACTGTGTTAAATCCTCACAGTTAAACATGACGCCTACGTCTTCCTGTCCTTGGTGACTCCCTCTGGGGAGAGATTCTCACTCAGTCCAGAGACCCAGGCCTGGTGGCACTTGCTGCCCCTGTTCTAGTGATGACAAGGCTGACTTCCAGAGAAGTGTGTAACTTGCTCATTACGCAGCTGCTAAGCCCTGTCCAGGTTGCACTCAACATTATATAGAAACAGACTTGATATATGTGCAGGGGTACTTTTAGCAGATGTTATTGCAGGGTGATGCTTTTTGGGTGACTCCCCCCCCCCATCTGTATTTTCTAAGTATCTTCATTAATTATAAATAAGTCAGAGGTACAGCTAGGAAAAAAAAATGCCACACAAGAATTCTACAAGGAAGATCCATGTTTCTTCTTTGCCTTATTAGTAATAACTAAAAATAATATTCATAGTAAATTGGCATCCCTGTGTCACTTAGCTAATGTTTAGTTGTTAAGTAAAATAAGCTTTTTATGGGTGGAATTTCCCCAAAAGATGTTATTTTTCTTCTAAACTTGTATAACCACCCTAAAAACTTCATTTCCTGGAATTTCATGAAAATTTTAGGAAAAAATTCCAGACCCTAATACCTCTGCAAGGATAACTTGTGGTTATTCCTAAGCTGCATGGAACACACTCTCCATTCCTGAGATTAACACTCAGAAATGCCAAATGCTGCTTATAAACTGCCCCGACCCCATCCCTCGCTTGGCCGTGGCAGGCGTCACTATTAGATGCCAGGGTTTCCCAGAGTCTCTCTGGACTCAGCCTGAGCATTCCGTTCGGCAGCACCCACTACCAGTCAGCACTCAGGATGAACCCGCCCGGCCGGCGTGGCTCAGCGGTTGAGCGTCGACCTGGGATCCAGGCGATCGGGGTTCGATTCCTGGTCAGGGCACATGCCCGGTTGCGGGCTCGATCAATGACTCTCTCATCATTGATGTTTCTATTTCTCTCTCTCCCTCTCCTTTCCTCTCTCTCAAATCAGTAAAGATATATAAAAAAAAAAAATCAAGATGAACCTATGTGCCCTCCCACATTGTACTATGATGATCCTATTCTGAAATTCACAGTTCTCCAGCTGTAGTGAGTTCATTAAAATGTGGATTCTCACTTTCGCACCCAGAGATTCTGATTCAGTAGAGCTGGAGGGTGGCCCAGAAATCTGAATTTTAACAAGCACTCGGAGTAGCTGATGCAAGAGGTCCACGTTTTGAGAAACATCATTTGATGATAACGTGCCTGCTGTTATGTTACATTTACTATGCACTTAATATGTACAAGGCACTGTGATAAGTGATCTGAAACAACTCTATTAAAAGGGAGATAAGACACTGCTACAAAAGTTAATTATATGAGTTAAAATGTAAGTGCCATAGCAGAACCAGAGATGGCATACCGTAGTGGCTCAGAAAA